GATATATGTTGCAGCGGACCATTGCACGGGCATGGGTGAATAACACAGTAATGTCAGTACATCTCGGTGAGCGCACTGGCAAGCGCAGCGTACACACCTCAGCTGCGAAGACCACTGGCACTCGTACCCACCGACACTCCCCCATAGTCTTATCCTCCATCGAGAGCCTAGCTCAGTCCAGCCATGCTCCTTTCCTCCATCGTGGTCATAGGCGGAGTTGGCTCCATCTGCGTCTGCTCAGTGCTGGCGCTTGCTCGTCGAATGCGTCGCACAAAGAGGCGGATTGGAGGTATGGGGAGGAAGCTCGGACTCGGAGGCTGAAGAGCAGGTACATAGAGTGTGATGTTGAGTGTACATTTTGCCACTTGGGTGAAAGGCGCCGAGGCGGGCAAGGTACGCGGTCTTGACGAACGAATGAGATGGGGAAAAGAAGCAGAATCGTGTGGTAAGAAAGATCCGATCAAAGCGTGCACAGCATTAGAGACATGTCGATAATATACGGAGTATCTCGGATCAACTGATAAGATTAGATTAGATGCAAGCGGGAAAAAACTGCTGGACGGGCCGACATCGGCGATCTCATGCCAGTGCTAAATCGCCATGGAGCTTCGAGCAACTCATCGATCCTTGCTGCTGCTGTAGACCCGTCCGCCATCGCATCGGATGGTTATCGGATTTACGAGACGAATCGCGCGTGGATTAAGGTCCGGAGGTGTGTAGACTCGGATCGTGCTGATATAGCTTTCAGCGGATGGGCGAAACAAACCAGCTCGCTCATAAGGAACTTGAAGCTTCGAAACCTCGAAGCTCAGAACTAACTGCCCGAATGCATGCACTCTCGGATGCAAGCCATCAGATCAACGCGTCACATGTCATTTTTGATCTTGTCCACTGCCAGCACACTTCCGAGTCGACGTGCAAGTGTCTTGACTGCTTTGAGGGCCTGTTGGTGCACAAACCAGCTCAACTCGGATTTTGACTGCTGCCAGTCATACGGTCATCCGCGTGCGGTGGGTAGTAACTTGAAGACACACTCTCAGGCTGACGCTCGCGAAGTTCACGGGGCCAGCCACGGAAAGCATCGCAGACTAGTCGATTCCGAAAGAAACTTTCGTCAAACTGCGGTCCCTCACGTCTAATTTCCACTCTCTATCGCCAATCTCATTCCATACTCATTCATTGAAACTTGGTGTTCACACTGGCGCTGGCAGCGGGGTGCAGGCGGGGCAGGAAGAACGCAGGGGCTTGGACATATTGATCCGAGAATATCTTCTGAATCGTCTCTGGCTGGAAACCCCGCCCGTTCCCGGTCCTGAAATAACTGTTCAAGACGTGTACGTACGACGACTCGGACACCAAAGATCTAGAGAATCTCGTTGTCTTTGTCTGTTGCACAGAGGCACGCTCCCATTCGCGTTCCCGGAATAACTATCACTCTGGCTGGCTGGCTGGCTGCTGGCATATCAATCGCCGTCTGCGCTCACAGAACTGATTTGTAATTGCTGCTCGTGCGTGGCCGGTGTAAATGTAGGTTGACCTGGAAGTTGGGCCCACGTTCGCGACTTATCCCCTTGTCCTAGTGCCTCGACTCGTTAATATCGCACCCGCTCCACCGTCGGGTACCAGAATCGGCCTTATGGAGACTATGCGACTCTCCAACTCGCGGTGCTTGCCCTTCCCCGCCCCCACATGTCAATTTTTGGGGTCGCCTCGATGCCCATTTGGGCTTCTCCCGAACCTGTCGCCTCACGCTCCAAATCCGAACCGAGCTGGTGACAACATGTATTCGGCACGAGGCGGGGACGCATTTTGAAAGCTTCAATGCCGCCCCGGGACCGACGTAAGTAGCATCTGTTATGTTTAGCGGGCGCTTACCGTTCGTCATCTGCATACATACAGGCACGCCCACACCCACAACCCACTGCGAATGGTAAACGTAGACCAGCGCAAGGTGGCCACGTACTCCTACATGCGCGTATCTGTGGCGCACTACGACCGCACACGAGGCCCATTTTGAGCCAGGCGTCTATCTCCTCAGGCTCGCGTGATGTGCGCGCCGGGCGCACGACTTCGACTTCGACGCTGATCGGCATCTAATGCCAATCCATCTCCTCGCCTGATGCGCGCATCCGGAGTCCGCAGCGGACAGCACGCAGCCATACAGCTCTTCACTCGAGTCGTTGGCCAACATGCTGTGAGCATGCACTAGCTACGAGTCCGAGTCGGTCTGAATCTTTCTCCGACGCTTTCCCTCACACCGCCGGCGACTCGGAGTCTCCCGTGGCCACTCGCACGCACCACCCTTCAAGCTCCCATATCCGGCATGCTCTTTTTATTTCCCTCTCCGCCGGCGTTCGTCTCAAGCCTCAAGGCAACGGAAATCCCAGAAGGCTTGATGGAGGAAGAACTCGGGAAGGAAAGAAGTGATGGGACCCACAACTCACAACCCATGACCGAGTCTGCGGCTGCAACCTTCAAGCGCACAAGCCAGCTCGTCTGCCCTTCCCGCAAGCAATGCCCTCCCTGATCAATGCCTGCGGAGCCCGAGAACGCCGCGCTTCGGATTGGCCCATCGTCATTAGGGTGGGTTCGATGCGTTCTAGGGAAACGAGAGATTCATCCAATACACCCTCGCGGCAAACCCGGCTTCTCTTCTAGCGATGGATCGACAAGTTGGAAGAGTGTGTTGCCTGGACTAGAACGTCGGACAAAGCTTCTTGGCCTTGGCCTTAAGATCGTCTAATTCTCAAGGTGCAGGCATTCATCTGCATTGCTCCCTTCCCGATCCTCAGGCTCAACTCACTTTCGCGTTCGTGCTATCCCCACCATCTCGGTGTCTTCGATTCGCCGCCTGGGGAACTCGCTGTGAGTTTAGCAGCGGAGATAGCACCCAATCAACTCGAAGTTAGCGCGAGGGGCGATTTAGTTCAGACTTTCGACTTGGGATCGGCGGCGTCTCCTTCTCGCCTCCTCGCGTGCATTCTAGGGTTGATTCTCGATGCCCCTCCCGTATTCTCCTGGCTGGGGTCAAGCATATACATATGCCTCTCGCGATTCACTCCTCTGTCTATCTACTCCTCTCGTTGAAAATCTCACTAGGAGGACAAGTCAACCTGTACGTTTCCTTGGATTCATCCGTGGAACGATGGATGACGCCTTGACGATTCGGTACAAAGGTAATCTGTGCAGTGTGTCATTGGTAAGTGGAATTCTCGTCTGTACAGTGTTCAGCAACTGATGGGATATCGCCCCTAAACTCCAGTTCTTTTGCGTTCTTAGATTTGAACATATCGTAACAACAACTACATTGGCATTCAACTGCCTCAACATGTCCGAAAAACAGCAAGAGGAACGAAAAATTGCCCCCACACGCACACAACAAGGAATTTCTTCTGCTCTTCCGCCCACCTCGCGGCCGTTCGATGGCAATTCAATTATTGTTGTCAGTCTTTTCGATCGATCGTGAGCCAGCTCGTTGTGTGGCTTGTGTTCAAGTTTCTTGCTGCATTGTTGCGAGAGAGAACATTTGGAAACCTGGGGAACGGCCGGCGATTCAAGACCTGTTCGGAATGTGACGCGGCGTTTCAACAATTACTGTGTCTACTTACTCCGTGCTTTTTTTCCAGTTCACCGCAAGGTGCGTATCAGTACCTCCGCGGGTGAGCCACTATGACGACTGCAGGAAGATGCCTTCGACCCACCGACGCAATACGCGCCACTTGCGTCAATTACCCAGATTATCGCACTCCACACTCTGGTCATCGTGATCCAAATCCGGAAATGCCGCGGGTGCTGTCAAAGATAAGATAAGACGGAAAGCAATGTAAGTCAGATTACACTTTCTGCAACCTCGGCGTATCTCCGAAAACGTCAGCGTATGTCCGGCGGAATACAGGCTTTGCCGTAGCGTACGTGGACCGCCGGACGGACTCGGGTTCATGTCGGCGCAAATCTGAGCCCGATTCCGATTTCCGAATCGGGGCGGCTCGGGTCGCCACGCTCGTAATCGATGTCTGTCAGCGGACGCCAGGATAATCGGATTTGCGATTGGAGCTGTAGATGGATTGGCTGTTGGTAAGCAGCTCGAATTATCGGCACTTGAAGATGACCGAGGACTGCGGTGCGTAGTAAGGCACCTTCCCAGGCTGCCACCGACTGTGTCAGTCAGCCAGGCCGGCAACCAACCAATCTACCCTGATGACCGGTGAGTTCGGGGCGAAGACACGAAGGATTGTCGGCTCGATCTCCACGGACTTCTATCATAGCGGATTCGCGATATCTCAGCTGAACTGTGAACACCGGCTCGTTTCTCACCCGCGCACGTCCCGGAGGGAAGAGGCGTCAGGATTAGACGACAACTCCCCGTATTCCGATTCCCGCTGGCACAGCAAAACGTCCGAGGTCATCGTGAACGCCATGGACGGTCCGAATCCGGAATTGTCAAACTCACGATGGCGGTAAAACCTCTGGAATATTTGCAGCTTGCTGCGGTCTCTCTATCTCTCGTGAACGTGTCTCGATGCGCGCGACCAAACGGCCGTGTAACCCTACTTTTAGTCGGAGGTACAGTACTTCTGCACCATGCGTCCTCCCGCACTGAGTACCCGCTGACCTCGAGGTTCCCATGTTGCAAGATTAAACCGGGCCGGAATGCGGAATGCGCAAGGAACTGGAACAGCTTTTGTTGAAACAAAACCTGCACAGGCTGCACTCGGGTGAGACACGGATTATTGGAACGGCGTGTATCAGAAATACGCCACGGTACCCCTGCCCCAAATGCTTATCGACAACATAATCCCGTCGAGTCACCAGATAAGATTAGATTTGCAACGAGGTCTGAAGTTCAACTACGCGCTGTAGCTTGGATTGAATCGCAGAGATTATATAAATGCCTCGACGAACAAGTATCTGCATGCAACGCGCTTTGCTGTGTGAAATGCTTCCGCGAGTGATCAGTACTGGTAACCCAGACCTAACCTGGACCTCTGTGCTGCAATATCAGCAGCATGGCGCAGATGGAAGCGCGCGGGGCCCATATAGCAGCGTAGTCGCTCCGTTAACCCCGATGTCACTCGATCGAAACGAGTTGCTGCTGTCAGCATATCGCAATTGTTCGATGATCGTTTTTTGACTCTGTGAAGCTCGATATCCATCCGTCCTTCCCTGTCGTGCTGAATGGGCTCTGCCACTGGGATGCCTTCAAGAGCTAGAAATTCCGCTTGGCTTGGCTTGGCTTGACTTCAGTTTTCTTTTCTTTTTTGCGCTAGCAGAGACTAGTGACCCCGTGTCTGTAGATAATTTTCACCATGGTTAATTGACAGACCGAGATTCAAACTCGCGCCAGCAGACAGACGAACGGACGAGCCGGCGATCTCATAGCCCCGGAGTCAATGAATTCAGCCATACCGCTATACAGTAGTGTAGTGTGCAATGAAGCGAGCAACGTTCTGTTCAGTTGTTGATGTGAGTTGGAAGCCGAGGTAGCCTGAGCTAGAGATTAGTTGGCAGAGGCAAGCTTACGTGCGTGCAGACCAAGATCGATGCCGTTGGACGCAAGGTGTCTGCTCGTTCTTGGCCGGGAGGAGCCTGGTACATGAGAGAGTAGCTCCCATTCAAAAGTGGAACGTTGAACGCCGAGCGTAAACTGTCGAATGCTGTCTTTTAACATTAACCTTACCCGTCCTCTGCCACTCCTTAGAGCACACTGACATGCTGAGAAAGAACAGCCGGAATTTTCTGCTGAGTGGGCCCGGATTCGAATTAGACTAGCGTGAAAGTGAAAGCGAGAGGTAAACCGTACGGGGACGTTTAAGCCGAGGAGAAGTGACGAGAGGATGGAAGCCTGCGAAATCATAGAAAGCCCGTCAGCTGTTTAGTTGAATGTATAACGGAGGGGAGCTACCAACCTTTCAAGTTTTCCCGAACGCTCGTCGTCGCTCATGGGTTCCAATCAGAAAAGAGTCGATCACGAAAACAACTGGCCGTCGCGCGCGTCTTCATCGCCGAGTAGCTCCAGAACTAGTGAAGGTAGTAACGACGTGCATGTCGCCCATGCGTACACGGATCAGCAAGAACAGACCGTGGAACGTCGAACAGGAGTCGACCCAAGTGATAGGGATATGTATCGTACGATTCGCCGGCGGTTCGAGACGACGATTCGGAGATGACTCAGGCCGAGAGCATGTTGTCGTTGACGTTGGAAGTGCTGAGAGGCGGATGAGCACAGCCGTGAAGGTTATCGGATTGTTGGCGCACAGCGATGCAACGTTGCCGCGGCAAGTTTCCGAGGTGTGGATGACAGTGATGTCAAGCGACCAAGCCGAATCAACCCCAGTTCGTGGCTCGATTGCCGCCGTCCAGTGTCGTCAAACATCGCGCGAGCAGCACAAAGCAAGCCTTGTTCGCACGATCCGCCTCATGTCGACACCTTCGAGCGTGCAGCATGCCCGATTTGGACAGAGTGGCCCGCCTCATGTCGTGCCGCGAGATAAAAGCAGAGAATCTCCCGGAATCGATGAGTGATGCAGCGTCAGATAGTCCAGATGAACGCAAGGCGAACCGGTGCACCGCGCGTGTAGGGTTGCTTGTCTGGTTGCACCTGCAGGCGCACAGCTGTAGAGCTGTAGATGTGGTCAGCAGGTCGCCGCTGCGGATGGAAGATCCGAGTTGGGTTCCGGCAGGAGGGCAGAGGGTACGATTGGGGCTAAACCCAGAACGTTCGCATTGGGAGAATCGCGGGTCATGGAACAGTGCCCAATATTTCTGCCTAAGAGAGCCGTCGTGTGGCTTCAAATCTAGAAAGAGATTGTCAATGAGCGCTACAATGAAAGACAATGCATGGTGCGATCGATGAAGATCAGCTGAAAGACAGCAACTCTGAGGGTGAATCGATGGTGCGAGGGGAATAGCATGCGGAGGGCTCGGATCCGGGGAAGTTCTGCAGCTGGACAGCTAGCGCTTCGAGAAGATTGCTGATAGGCGCTTTCTAGCTAGTATCGTGCACTGGCAATGCTCGGATGTCTTGAATGACCGGCGGCGTCGGGGAATGGGGATTGAGCCAGCTCTTCCGTGAGAGGCGGAGCACAGAAGACGAAGAACAAGCTGTTGGGGGATGACAGGGCGGCAAGAGGTATGACAGCCCGTTGTTTGTTGATCCGTGTCACGACAAATACTCCTTCTCTTAATAGCGTCTCTCGCATCACACCTTATCAGACCTGTCATTCTAAACAGAATTCTTTCTCTCACGCAGCACAAATCTAGCCAAATTTCCCTGCTTCCTCCACGACGACATCGCGGCGACATCCCTGCTTCCATCTGCTCATTTCCAGCCACAGACTCCAGCTATCCGTCCCAAAATCCTCCAAGTTGTGCGACTATTTTGACGTGACACGAGGTTCTTTTTCTCATGCCATCGAACGCCGTCGGCGAACTACCGTTTCAGGCTCTCCTTCCGCCGGCCTCACTCCGCTCACTCGCATCCCTCCAGGCTCAAGCTTGGGTGTCTCAAACCCTCCAATGGCCTTGGCATCACAAGAATGCTACTTATTATCAAGTCATCGCATATTCGCCAGGCTCCAGCCGAGCTCCAGCGCAAAGATTGCGAATGCCGGGAAGCAGAAAATGAGACGGACGAGTAGGAGGCTAGGAGCCCAGCGCCAGGGTAAACAAGGTCCGACTGAGCAAGGTGCATCCCTGCAATACTTTCTCCCACTCACTCCGCTTCAAGCTCAAGCTCTCTCTCCACTACACTTAGAGCAACATGCACGCAGAACCTATTCCGCCATTCATTCAAGTCCTTACAGAGTGGAAACTCCCTCCGTGCACGTAATTCACCGCCCCACCCACCGCCTTCCCTCCACCGGACTGTAATCCGTTATGCGCCACACGCTCGGCGAATGAAACAAGTCGGACTAGACAAGGGGTTAAACCAGCGCAGAGACGATCCGGAAATTGTCGATGTGGGTCGAGCCGTTTCGAGCTGACTCCCGCCGCCCTCAAGGCCTCACGCCACCTTTGTTCTCTTCCTCTTTGCTTTCGCTCTCTTCCCCGCTTTCCGTCTCTACGTCGTGCACCCGTTTCCGTATCTGAGTCTAGATTCCACGTCAACCATTGCTCCCATCTGAACCAGTCATCAAACTGCACCAAGCCGGAGCTGCGGAACCCAAGCCAGCGCTGCAAGTAAACGAATGCGCACATTGCACCTCAACACTGCAAGCCACTCAAGACCGCCATCGCTGTCGTGGCGCACGCTCACTTTGTCGCAAGAGTGTCCTGGCTATCGGATCGCGCAGAACCTCAACACGAACCGACGTACATCAAAAACGGAGAGGAGAACGGATGCGGACGAATCAAACGGCCGAGGGATGCAAGGTGTGACGAGGGGATTTTGTCTGAGGGCGCTTGGACGGGGCTCGAGGGTGCGTCCTACATCTTCCTATAAACGGTCTTTCTCATTCGGAGGCATTTCTGCTGCGGACCAGCCCATGGATGAACGCAGACGAGTACGTCGCCGAACATCGACGCTGCTTTCGCCTTTTCGCTCACCAGCGAGCCTCAATAGGTCACCAAACCTCCTGATGCATCTCTAGCCATGGAACTCTCCGTCAGCACCCATCGCATTACCAGTACCATGTCGACCGACACCTGCTTGGATTCCGCGTCGACAACGAGTGCATGCCATGGCCAGCGTCGACCAGTACATTGGCTGTAGCAGCAGGTTATCGCACCGAACGTGTTCTCCCCCCGCAAAATACTAACGCTAGGCTGTGCGCGCTCATCGGCAACCGGGACTCCAGATCTCTCGGGAGGTCCCAATTTGTACGTCTGTTCGTTGTTCATCCGGTTTATGGACTGCGCTAATTGATAATATTCCTCAGGCTGCTCTGACCATGGCAATTAATTCTGACGACTTAGAGGCAAGCCGCCGAGCGATTCCGTTCGTCTCCTCTTTGTTCCACTGGCAATTGTATTCATGTACTCACTGTATCCTGCGATGCTCTCTCTAGCATTATGCCGTACTCTCTCCCGGACGGGACGCGACAAACCGATGCAATGAACGAAAGCAGCGGGAGAATCTGACGAAAGAGGCACAACCAGACCTCCCGTAGTAGTGGCGAATGGACCGATTTCCAGCGTAGCTTGCTAACTTTTGTAAATCTTTGTACAATTTATTCATCATACCCTGCATTATGAGTGCAAACTCTGACTCAGATTCTAAGGCGGAGCGGAGCGCAGCCTACCTTGTAGATGTCAATAACGCGTACACAACGCGTGCGCTGATTTGGGAAATTTCAAAAGCGCCATTATCAAGCGGGAACGGGCCAATATCACACAATCGATTCCTGCTAGGCCGTTTCAGTCGTTATCCGATGTGCAAGACAAAGACGCGCGCGAATTGTGATGACATCATGATACCGGAGGATTAGTGTCTGCTGGCAAAGTAAACCAGCTCATTCGCGGGAACGTACAAGAACTCGGACAACATGAATATTATTGGCGGAACGCCTGCAGTTCCTGGCCATGCAACCTTCGCTTGAGCCTCCCGAGCACCACCATCGTGTGGCCCGCCAATATTGATCCCCCGTTCAACTTAAATCTCTCTCTTCAGAAAAACAAAAAACATCCATAAATTCATCAAACTTCGTCGTGTATATTACTCCATTCGCTCTACTTTCCCAATAAACTCTACTCGTAGATCTCTAAACTCCCTCTCTCGGCGCTATATCGAGCAAGCACCTTCGGGGAGCGTACGTGCGCTGGTGGTACAAATCGCGGCTTCAATCCAACCCCCCCATCGTCTAAACAGTCTCCTTTTCCTCCCCCTTCTCCTTCTTCTCGTCCACCGTCGCCGTCGGGGCAGCGGCAGGCCGCGTTATCCGAATATTCTTGATGAACATACTCGAAATCAACGCCAGCCCCGCAACCGGCACGCCAATCACAAACACAATCCGCAGCGACTCGGTGTAGCTCCTCACTACACCCGGAATCATCTCGGCCGGTAAACTCGTCCAAATCGCCGTCGGGCTCTCCTTGACGATGAGTGCCGGTGCGTCGGGGGCGTATTTCAATAGATATTTGCCGAGTTCCGAAGCGAAA